CTCTGCAGAGTGTCACGGTGCCTGCAGGTGTCACGGTGCTGGACGGGACCAGCTGTGACTCTCCGCCAGGGGTTCAGGGGGGCTGGAGCTTGCAGTGGCATGCGGGCCCCCAGACAGGCCGGCGTCACTGTGCATCCTTCGGAAGGACCGCAAAGCCCCACTTTGAACCAACTGCAATGAATACATTCTTACGTTTCACCTGCCATCACCCTGATTTCAGGTACAACTTTGTGTGAAACAGACATGCATGGGACATGGGTCAGGAAGAGGAGGAGATGTGGGCTGGATTCACTTCTTGGTATTCTGAATGAAAATGAATTTTCCAGGAAGACACTGAAGGATAGGAGTTATTTTACTTACAGCTCTTGTAACATTTTTTCAACCAAAAATCAAAACAGACAAACAAAATCCTGCTTTAACAGAATAATGCTAACCTTAAAAATAAAAGTTAGTTGTTTTACCAGCAAAAAATGGGTTTATTTGGGAATAACAGAGAACGGCAACTCAGGACAAGCGAGCTATGATGAAACCGTTAGCAAATCCAACAAACAAAGGAGAGGAATTTTATTTTATGGAAAAGAAGGAAGAGGTTGGGAAGTGCTGTTTTGAATGAAAATTCACTTGACACACACAGGTAGGTACCACAATTCTCCCCATTGAGTCGTAGACACTCCTGTTTCCTCGCAGTCCCCATGGCACTGTGGTTCCACCTGTCATTCCCAGTGTTGTCTCCCAGGGCTGGGGCCCCTCCATGTGCAGGCCAATAGCCTGACAGTGCCTACTCCTACTCAGTTTTTTTTAGGGGGGGGGGGACAAAGAGAAGTGGTCAACTGTGAATACTGCCCCCACAGCAGTGGCCCAGCCCAAAGAGGCCAGTCTAAGCTGGGGCTCTGGCTACAAAGGTTTCCCTAGCAGCCAGGTTGCACAGTAACTATAATTGAGTGGGGTACCTGTGATGGCCCTGCTTTCCACCCAGTCCATGGGTTTTGGGGGAGCTGCAGTGCATCTGCAGAAGACCATGCTGGGAGTCCCTCAGGGGACTAGGCTTCATTTTTCCTGCTAGTGTTTGTTTTCTATTTATCTGTCTAATAAATATCTCATTAACATTACCCTTTGAATTTAAAAATTATTCTAAAGAGAAGCAGTTTGAGCACAAAAATAGACATATAGATCAATGGAACAAAATAGAGATTCCAGAAATAAACCCACACTTTCCTGGCCAATTAATCTATGACAAAAGTAGGCAAGGATATACTGTGGAAAAAGGTCTCTTCAACAAATGGTGTTGGGAAAACTAGACATGAAAAGTTACGTGCAAAAGAATGAAACTGGACCACTGTCTCACACCATACACAAAAATAAACCACAAATGGGATAAAGACCCAAATATGAGACCTGAAACCATACAATTCCTAGAAGAAGCAGTAATTTTTCTGACATAGGCCATAACAATGTTTTTCTAGACATGTCTCTGGAAGCAAGGGAAACAAAAGCAAAATAAACTACTGGGATCTCATCAAAATAAAAGCTTCTGCACAGCGAAGGAAACAGTCAACAAAACAAAAAGGCAACCAACGGAATGGGAGGAGATATTTGCAAATGATGTGTCCAATGAGAGGTTAATATCTGAAATATGTTAAGAATTTACACCACTCCTCACACACACACACACACACACACACACACACACACACACACACACGAAACCCAAATAATCCACTTAAAGTGGGCAAAGGACCTGAATGGACATTTTCCAAAGAAGACATACAAATGGCCAACAGACACATAAAAAGATGCTCAATGTTACTGATCATCTGGGAAATGCAAATTAAAACCACAATGGGATATCACTATGTATCTTTCAGAATGGCAAAAATCAAAAACACAGAAACAACAGGTGTTGGTGAGGATGTAGAGAAAAAGGGACACTCACACACTGTTGGTGGGAATGCAAACTGGTGCACCCACTCTGGAAAACAGTAGGGAGGTTCCTCAAAAAGTTAAAAATAGAACTACCCTATGATCCAGTAATTCCACTACAAGGTATTTTCCCATAAAAAACAGAAACACTAATTTGAAAAGATACATGCACCCCTAT